GGCGTATTTGTAGAGTAGTTGCAGAATGTTTAAACTAGGGACTGGGGGGGCAGGGGGGATAGCTAAGTATGTAACTGGGGGGAAACGGAAAGCCCCAAAAAATCATATTATAAGTGGGCACTGTAATAGGCCTACCCTTTGTTGTCTGTATTTAAACGCCAGGAATATTAAGAATAAAATTCATGATTTAGAGGCTTTTATCTCATCGGACTCTTATGATATTATAGGAATAACTGAAACGTGGTTGAGAGAAAAGGATGGACAAGAATATAATTTGGATGGTTACACGCTGTTCCGTAAAGACCGTATAAGCTCAAAATAAATAAATCACAGGGGGGCCTGATGTAGGGCTGGGCAGTATATCGAGTTCTGGGGATATATCGATATGATTCCCCAACGTGATGCGGGATTATCCAATATCTTTCATATCAATATGGTTTGAGGCCACACATGCGCGTGCGTGTTCTGAGCGAAACAGACCACTCCAAGGTAGCACGCGACATGGAGGAACACGCAGCGCCGGTCAACACAGAAAATGTACTGGTCAGTAAAAAGAAAAACAATGGTTCACTTATCTGGAGATTTTTTAAAACTTCCGATGAGCAGCAAAAACAGCCCATCTGCAGGGAATGTTATAAATCAGTTGTATCAAAATGTGGAAGCACGTCAAATCTCTTCCACCACTTACAGCTTTACCATAAAGTGAAGTACGATGAGTATTTACAACTTCGTGCTACAACTTTGGCCACGAAGACTACGCAGCCGCAACCCAAAACATCTGCCCCGAAACAAAGCTCTCTGGAAGCATCTTTTACCCGAAGTGTGCCTTACGAAAAGAAAAGTCGCAAGTGACGCGATATAACTAATGCGGTAACGTATCACATTGCTAAAGACATGGTTCCTATAGCAACGGTGGAAAAAGAGGGTTTTAAAACGCTGCTAAAAACCATTGACCCAAGATACGAGCTACCCAATTGCAAGTACTTTGCATCAGAAACTCTGCCGCAAATGTACAGTGATGTCAGAGGGAAGCTTTCTGAGCGGCTTGCAAAAGTGGCTCATTTTGCACTAACAGCCGATTTATGGTCAAGATTCAAGATTCTTTATTTGTCACATGTTACAGACATCCCAAGTCTCCCGGAAGATCCGGGAGTCTCCCGCATATTGATAGCGGCTCCCTGATGCCCGCAAATTGAATAAAATGTCCCGGAAACTAGAGCAAGCACACAAGAGCGTCTCTACCACCTGAGACAGCTGAAGAAATTTCGCGTCTCTACTGGGATCCTGAAGTCGTTCTACTCCGGTGCCGTGGAAAATGTCCTGACCCAGAACATCACATCCTGGTATGGAAATAGCCGTGTCCAGGACTTAAAGGGACTGCAGAGGGTGATTCGGGCAGCAGAGCGCTGCACCAGATCTGCTCTGCCGTCTCTGCAGGACATATACACCAGGAGATGCCGGAGCAGAGCAATCAGGATCATCAAAGACACGACTCACCCCAGTAACAGTCTGTTTGAGCTGCTGA